GACAATTCAATGCCATGCTATCTATTTGTAGTGAATTTAACTCAATCATTGTGTCGGACAGTCTGTACGGCCGTCACTCGCAAACAATGACCCCATCGGCGATCCCTCCGCGCAATGACGAGCGAAGAGCGCGAAAGTTGGCCCGAAATAAGCAAAACCCGTATAAATGTAATTAATTGAGCGTTAATTGAATGGAAACTTCGATGCATTTGACACTGTATTTGACAACTGGTCTCAAGAACCGTATTAACAAAAAGACTAAACCCAGAGATTACTCATTTATAGTCACGATTGCCTTCAAATGTTCATAACTTTGCAATTTTTGTCTTTTCAAACAAATTGTTTTGTACTTTAAAACTGTTAAACAAGTAATCAAAGTAATAGTCCATTAATTGCCGCAATATTCAACTGCTGTTAGCCATCAATCGATTGCCAAATAATTGATAAGAAATGCTTTACAAAAAGAGTTTACATTTATTTAAATTAAAGCTAAATAATACTAACATTTAATATACAATTCATTGTAAACATTATGAAAATCAAAATAAAATGAATTCAAAATTACTATCATTTCTGAAGAAATGTCTAAAATGTTGTAAAACTAAACACTTTTAGCGTTTGAATGACAATCACTTAATTTGATCCGTTTATTGGGCGCCACATCAGAGTGTGGTTCGGTGTGAATGGTTTGAGTGGCAAATGATTGGCTCTTGTGATGGACACCATCTGATGGAGTGGCGAGAGTGCGGTCTGACTGTGGTTTAGGACTCATTGAGTGAGTGGACAGACATGGAGTGGCGCAGGGTTGAGACGATTGAGTGGATGTGCGCTCACAATCAGCTGATGACCACTGTTTGGTGCACTTCTTGGAGAGGGCCTCCTGTAAGATACGGGAACTGTTGGTCTCGTGGTTGACATCCTTCTGAAAGTGCAAAATCTTATTCAACAGAAATCTTCGCTCTTCGGATCCTTTCGAGAGTTTGTCTAAACATTGATTGAGTTCTGAATGAATGGCTTTATTAATGAAAACCAATTCTCGGATCTGTTTCTGAAGTCGAGTGCATTTGTCTTTATATCTCCTGTTCCTGAGTTCTTCGGCCGAAGTGGTGGTCACCTCAATGGCCAGTTTTACATTGGATCCGTACGAGTGGTAACTGTTGGTCAGAGCATTAGTCGGACGGGAAGTGCTCTGATTGGGCGTACAGATGAACGAACAGGAGGTCGATATGGAACCGTTGGAACAGTTGGTGCTAAACATCACTACAATTACTACACTTTAGGTGACAATCACTGAATCCATTCATCCATTCATTCACTGTTTGTTTGCAAACAAATTGAGCCCATATTTGGTAACGTCTTGTATGAGCGACCCCTACAGTACAGTACATTCAAAACTTGACAAAGTTGTGTACTTGATCATTGATTCAATGATCATGGTCACTTTCTATCATATTCAATAATTAAAGTTATGATTACAGATTATAAATACTAATAAGTGATCACATAGTAAGCACAATTTGTTTGTTATGTTTTTACAACAAATTGACCAGGTGCTATTTTCAAATTATTTCTAAAAATTATTGTACTGTATTAATAAGTAAACTTATCGGAGCATAAATCACAATGCTGAAATATTCTAACTATATTAATACTGTATCAACAAACTATTTTAGCTTACAGTTGCCTAAAATAACAGTAATAGTTAAAGGGAAATAAGTGACCTATCTATTTATCTAGATACTATCAATTTACTATCAATTTATATGTTTAGAACCTATTATATTGGTGTCAAAGGTCACCGATGGAGCAGTCAATGCAACTTTTAATGTACTGTTAGACACAAATCCACATAATTTGTGAAATAAACTCAAAAGTCATTCAATTTGTAATTTTTTTTATTACTCGTTAATTATAAAAACTAATTTTATTGACTTTATTAGTCTATAGAATAAATTATCACTAATTTGTAGTTGTCATTGATTAGAAAATAATGGATACAATCAATCAAATATCTATTCAAATTTAAAAAGCAGTTAATATTCAATATAAATGTTATAATATTATTGCATAATTGATATCATTATAGTGTTTATGCATTTGTGACCAAACAAGAGCTCCAAAGTGAGTAATTGAGGAAAGGCTTGTCAGTCGGTTACGGCATTGCTTTCCATACTTTGTTTTTGCAGAAATGTGTTGCCTTTAAGTCAAACAATATTTTAGTTCATATTTTTATATATTAAGTGGACAGTTGTACTTACTTTACAGGACTCGGCGTGAGCTATGGTATGACACCAATAGGTGGGTCCAAACGTACACTTGTGACCTCCCAGCATATGTACGCCTCCACTTGAATAGCACATATCGATTGACTATTCAAATCAAATAATAGTTGTATAAATCATATCATAACTCATGAGTTAGACATCACTTACTCTACAGATCTGATTCGCATCATTAAGACTTCCAATCATTTGCAGAAAGTAAGGCGCAAACGCCTCAACCATTAG